GTGGGGCAGAGGCCGGCCTCAATGCTGCGAGGCCTGGCCATGCCCTGAACCGTCCAGATGGACGGTTCAGCCCCAACCGGCGGGCGGCAGCCTCAAGAGCGCCTCCAGGCCCAAACGATAATGCCGTTTGGGCCTGCCCGTCGGGTACTGGTCCAAGATCAGGCCCTGAGGGCCTGTAATACCCCAAGGTCCGGCCTTTAGGCCCTGATGTGTCCCTCCGGCCCTAAGTCGGGTCCGGTAGGACCAGTGTGCGTCGAAGATGTAACACAGGGACTGGACCGTAGCAAGCGGTCTGGTGTCCGTGTGGGTATAAAAGCAATGATTGACCTGTCGAATTTCTCTTTTCGGGACCAACGGCGGTATCGGTATTTCCGGAATGCCGGGAACGACGGAGGTGGGTTAGTGGTAGGAAGCGCATTGGGTTATGTGCTTGGTGAGTTTGGAGGGAGAAACCCCTTGAGGAGGATCACCTGGCGGTGATCGAAACCGGTCGGGGAGCCACTTTCTCGGATTTTACGATTTCAATCAATTGCTCACGACTACTTGACGTTGCATGTTTCTCCATGTGATGTTCGAAGTATTGGATTTTTTATCCTTCATATCATATACCTGTTAGAGCTCGTGTGAAGCAGCCTGAAGCAACGTAACCGAGAGTGTGTGAGCACGATATACACTTAAAGTGTGCACTGTTACTACTACAAGATACGAAGGCTATCCGGATCTTTGATTTTCGGACGATGTCTGGACGACGCGGATATGAAGACGACTATAGGCGAGATGGCGAGGGTACTACTAAAAGAAATCACGGAGGGGAGGATCGGGAGCGACGGTACCATAGAGGCTATGAACCATACGGAGACCGAAGAGGCGATGATCGAGGACGGGAACAACACAAGCGCGAGGAAAGAGGACGTGATTATCGTGCTGGTGGCCAGGAATGACCAGCGACCGAAAGGCGATGGGAATACAGGGGAGGAAGTGGCGAAAGACGACCCCCACCCGTGTGTTTTGGCTGTAAGGTAGTCGGCCACTACCGTAGTGATTGTTGGCGGTTTTGGACCCATGAGGAAACGAGACGTCAAATGGAGGCGGACGGTTATCGATGTCCCCCCGAATTCGCGAGGCGAGGACGTTCCATCTCACCTCAGCGACAGAGACCAGCGCAGGCGAAACGTTCACCATCTGAAGAACCGAAGACAAGTAGCCAAATCGAAGACCTTGGTAAAACCGTGGAAGCAATGAAGGAATTTGTTGATTTGGAGATGGCACGCCGTGAAGCTAAGGAAATGAGGAAACGTGAGAAAGAAGCGGCAAAGAAACGAGAAGAGGAAGAACGTGTAGCAGCGGAGGAAATCCGTGCGGCAGAAGAATTGAAGCGACAGAGGAAGTTGGAAAAGCAGAGACGGCGAGAGGCAGATCGTGAAGCTATTACGAAAGTTGTAGATGTTCAAGTTGCGCTGCGGTTGAAAAACATACCGGAAGTGTTGAAGAACGAAGTTCACCATGTAGTGCGGGAAATTATTCCTGACTTGAAAGGCAAAGGAAAAGTTGGGGAGGAGGGTCCATCTACCTCATCCTCGGCCGAAGTGCTGAATGCAATAGAAGATATCACCGGTGAGACCGAGAACCTACATATCTCCGAGAAATGCAAGAGGGGAGAAGATACGCCGGTGGGAGATAGTCCGTATGTCACTACTCCAGCAAAACGTACTACGAAGTGGGCGACGAGTCGACCACTTCGCCTCACGGAGCGCTTGTGTGCGCGTAACACGCAGATGAAGAGTGCTCAAGTACGGATGTCACGGAAGGCATTGACTGGAATGAAGGCGGCGCTGAAGGACACAAAATTCGAGAGGCTGCAATTTCTGGATTCCGAGCGACGGGAGCTGATAAACTTGCACCACAATGAGATCAAGGCTATTTGCGGACGGGAAGGGGTGGTATACAAGATGAAGCTTCAGACAATTTTTGATATTGCCGATCGGCGAGCAGATGTTAAGTTTGGTATGTTGGCGGCCGAAGATGCTGTGGTTAACCTCACGTCAGAATTCGAAGAGCAAGCTGATGATGGAAACGATAACTGAAGAGGCTACAGTTTGGAAGAGATATGTGAGTTGTACGAAGTTCTAGTTAGCTATCGTGAGAAGTTTCCTTCGGTGAACAATGAAATTGAAACATTATATAGACTTCTTGTACTGTGTTTGGCACTCTCTGGTAGGATTCGATGGTTGGATAAATGTGTCCCAGCAAGGTTGGATTTGTATAGTACATACGGCCTGGAGTTTTTGAATTTGGAAAGTTGCGTCTACGTCATTACATCTCCAGTATGTAAGTCGCAATACGTTGGACAAACAAGTAGGTCCCCAAATGTGAGATGGAGAGAACACATCTCGGTATCTAACAAGAGATCGAAGAAAACGCACTTATACCGGTGGTGGGACTCCTTTGGATTTGAGTCGTATGTACTATTACCAATAGCTCAGAAAAGTCAGGATGAGTTATTGACCTTGGAGAAGCTGTATATTAACCACTGGTCACCGTTTCTAAACACCGCTGGTACACTGAAGCGTAGAACGAAGAAGACGAGGAAAGGGAAGAATGAACGTAGACGAGTTGGAGGGAAAGCATGTACAAACGTAGGTACAGCCGAGGGATTACGACCGATACGGGTGAGGCTTAGCGATAGCGAACCATGGAGTGTGAGGGTCTTTGATTGTCTATGTAAGAAAGATAGAATTGGGACTCGAAGCTTTTCTTTGCGATGTAGCGGCGGAGGTATCTGGTGTGATTCCTGGAGGAAGATACGAAAAGCGTTTGGGAAGACGGATGTGAAAATGGATGGAGAACTGTGGCAGTTGAAGGATTATAGAGGATGGATTGAGGAAGGAAAATGCATTGAAATCACTTACTTACGGAGGTGGCGACCAGGACAGAATTGCTATAGACCTTTTCTAATTTCTCTGCTGAAGAACCCCCGGAGAATCGAGAAGTTGAGGCGGTGGGATCTGACCTCCTTGGATCTGTTGTTCAGCGCTGTAAAGGACTTCAACCGGAAAGCCACCAGATCATACCTACGTCGAACTATCTCGCGTGTGGTCCGTGAGCGATTTGGTTTTAATTTTTTCGTTGCTCCAATCTTTCGTTTACTGTATGATGATCGGGTGAGACTGAAGGAGGTACGGAGAATCGTGAATGATAAGTTGGGGAAATTAACACTTCCACCTTGTGTGATACGCAGAGCACGAGCGAAGGTCCGGATCGTGTGGACTAAGAATCCAAGCGTTGCGGACTTGTTACACAATCAGCGCAAATTTGCACGCGCTGATGTGGCAACCTGTGCGTGTACAGGTTTTCCTTACCCCCGGGTAAGAGGTCACGTGGGATGCCACTTACACGAAGTTGAAGTGTTCCGGAGCTGATGTGGAACGCGGGGAACATCCCCAAGGCGCACCGATCTAATCGGTTGGTCATGCTCCGTGATGAGATTCGTAAAGGGTTCCAGTCATTGACAAATATTAAAAACCAGAGAGTGGAGTGTGATGAAGCGGAAATTGAGGGGTGCATGCAGAAGACTGCAGATAGCGAGGCAAGGTACCTCGAGAAGGACAGAGTGTTGGAGATCAGGCAACGATTCAGGGGTCTGGTGCTTACTCCCTTGGACCGCAATCCAGGTAAGACGCTAATAATCTGTCCAGTATTGTACTATGAGGGGATGCGAGATCTGTTTCTCCGCAATGAAGGGTATGTGCCATGTGAGAAGGATGAAGCCGATGTTCTGAAGGAAATGAAGACACAGATTCAGAAGCGCGGGTTGAAAACGTTTTCCAGATGGGACAAGAAGGGAAGTATTGGCTATGCCTACGCCATGCCAAAACACAAAGACCTGGAGCGCTATCGACCTATCTGTCCGACATACTCTGAACCTACCGTGAGGAGTTGTCGGGCAGCTGCAAAGGCATTGAACCACTTATTATACACTCTCCCACAGGACTGGCACTTTAACCTGAAGGACGTGACACTTCTGACAGACCGACTGGAGAGGATCAACGTGAAGGCAGCAAAGATGAGGAAACAACCGGTGATGTTGGCTTAGATTGTATGATATCAAGGATATGTTTAGTCGGCTACCACATGGTGACATTATCCTTGCGGTTGAATGGCTGATTGAGTTTCATAGGAGTAAGGGTAGAGAGTTCGTGCGTGTGAATACGAGGGGAATAGGAGCAACCTTTGGCCTGACGACTGGCTTTGACCACTGGAAAATGATCCGTTTTGAAGAATTGTTGGAATTTGTGCGTTTTGAATTGGAGCACACGTACACTTATGCTTTGAATGTATTGTTGCAGCAAACTGTGGGTATTCCCATGGGGAAGAGTACGAGCCCTCCCTTGGCATGCATCATGTGTGCACATGCGGAGTTTAATTTTCTAAAAAAATTGGGCCACCTGCAAGGATTTGTAGCAGGGATTCAGTTGATTGATGTCGTGAGTTTGTTCGTCTTGGACCCAGGGCTTGACAGGAGGACTGTGCAGGAAATCTGGCATCGCTTCGAAAATTGCTACCCTGATAATCTCTCGCTAAAGCGTACTGACTCGGACCAGGGAAAGTGGGATTTCCTAGGATGTGAGGTGCGGATTGATGATAGAATGTCGATTGTGTCGAGCGTTCAAATGAAAAAAAATGAGAAGAGGATCTGGGAGGATGAGGTGCTTGAGTTTAAAAACGGACAATCCTTCCGATCTTGGGGAATTAAGGCACAAAAAAGCGTCGTTATTACAAGTCGGTTACACAGGATTGAACAAAACACTTCGGCAAGGGAAGAAATCCCAAGCCGAGTGATCACGCTGGCACGGGAACTAAGGATTATGGATTTCCCTGAGGATTTCGTAGTCCGGGTGTTGAAGCGTTTTGCTAGAGAAAGAGACGAACCATGGGGATTCACGGTGCGGTTGATGAGTAGGCATAAGTAGTGGAGGTAGGTTTTTTGCCTTGTTCGATTCGATGAATAATGTCTCAAGGTATTTGTGTATATGTTGGATTAATTTTTCGTTCGATGTTTGATGATTTGAGTTGGAAGGTGTTTCCAAACGCGGGGCGATATGTAGTGACAGGGTTTTCTAGTTTCTAACGGTTTGTGTCCGCATATAGGTGTAGGTTTTCTAGTAAGACTTGTACTAGGTAGCTACACCGTATTTTTCGAATTGCTTTTTTTTCATCGAGATTGGGTGTTTGGACTTCCGGACTGGGTTTGAACGCTTATGATAACTGGAGTGTACGTTTTTTGATAGCTGTAGCGGACTTTTTGGTTCCTTAGGCCGGGAATGGGCCGGTAGTACGGACGAGACAAATGAGCTGACAGGGACTGGACCGTAGCAAGCGGTCTGGTGTCCGTGTGGGTATAAAAGCAATGATTGACCTGTCGAATTTCTCTTTTCGGAACCAACGGCGGTATCGGTATTTCCGGAATGTCGGGAACGACGGAGGTGGGTTAGTGGTAGGAAGCGCATTGGGTTATGTGCTTGGTGAGTTTGGAGGGAGAAACCCCCTGAGGAGGATCACCTGGCGGTGATCGAAACCGGTCGGGGAGCCACTTTCTCGGATTTGATGATTTCAATCAATTGCTCACGACTACTTGACGTTGCATGTTTCTCCATGTGATGTTTGAAGTATTGGATTTTATATTCTTCATATCATCTCAAAGTTTTATCTTGGAAAGTACCTTTGTTTAGGATGGGACGCTGGACCCGGTTTCCAGCAGTCTTCGAAGGATAGATATGGATCAGAGGTCTGGGTATGGAGCATTGCTCATAAGCGAAATTGGTTGATGCTGCCAGGATAACTCCGGGTTGAATTGTGAGGTCCCCCACCTCGTCCCCTTATCATTGCAATATAAAAGGAAAATAATTAGATTAAAAAAAAAAAAAAAAAAAAAAAAAAAAAAGGGGCCGCAAAAAAGAAAGAAAAAAGAAGAAAAAAAAAAAAAAAAAAAAAAAAAAAAAAAAAAAAAAAAAAAAAAAAAAAAAAAAAAAAAAAAAAAAAACGATGTGGCCGCTAAGCACCACGTCAGACGGGATACCCAGTGCCAATGACTGGTATCCCCAAGAAAAACGGAAAAAAAAAAGTAAAAGAAAATGAAATGAAACGCGAAGAAGGAAAAATTGGCGCAGCAAGAGAGAGAGAGAGAGAACGTCAGACACTCTCCGACGCTCTCTCTCTCTCTCTTCGCTCCAGCGAGAATGAATCTTTTACGTTGTCGTGGATTCATTCTCATTGGACATGTTTGATTTCCCTTTTTTTTTCTATGACCTTTTTATAATATTGTTTGTTTTTTTTTTGTTTTTTTTTTTCTTCCCCAATGATGTACTACTAGTACTCTGAGGCTCAGCAATGATGGGGCTACCGGTCGCCCGAGCCTCGGACGTGATAGCTGGGCGAGGTACTGGTGGTTTAAGGAGGGTGTTGAACCTTTTTTTGAGGGGGGGGGAAATACCCCACCTAAAGATGGAAATACCCACCAGTACCTCCCCAACTATCAAGTCCGAGGCTCGGGCGACCGGTAGCCCCATCATTGCCGAGCCTCAGAGTACCAGTAGTACATCAGACACTCTCTGACGCCCTCTCTCTCTCTCTCTCTCTCTCTCTCTCTCTCTCTCTCTCTCTCTCTCTCTCTCTCTTCGTTCCAACGAGAATGAATCTTTCACGTTGTCGTGGAAAATTCATTCACATTGGACATGTTTGATTTCCTTTTTTTTCCAGGACCTTTTTTTTTTTTTCTTCAGAATGTTGTATCTATACCCGAAAGCCGTTCAACTTTGCATAGTACCCAATTTTCCCTTTTGCAAAATTGTAAGCGTACCCAGTACCTCATGTCCTCGGTTCAGCACCATGATATTATGTTGATGCCTAGAAACTGGGCTGGCAAAATTGTCGGCGTACCACACCCGGTGGCGGACCTTGGATGGCTAATCATTAAATTATGTTCATGCCCACCAAGTAGAGCGTTGTGGCTCAGCGGCTGTTGGGTATAAGCGTAGTTTCAACCATCCGGTAGTACGGTATATGAATAATTTGGCCGGTCCACCTCAGTCCCAGGTATGCTCACAATTTTGTCTTGGTATGTCCTTAATTTGTGCATTCTGCTAGTAGGGTATAAACGGAATGTTGTGGTACCGATCTGGGTTCACTTCACTATTGGGCATGCAAATCATTTTCACTAGCTGTTTTCTGGGTATAATGCAAGTTGGCGCGAGG